GGGGGGGGGCTGCGGAACCCAGCCAGGGACTACGTGAAAGACAGGTGGGGAGTCAGCTGGGCCTTGGCAGCCAAGGTAAAGACTTTGGCCTCTGTCCTAAGTGCCATGGGGATCCCCGAGGACAAGGAAGCGGCGGAGTCGGCTTCCCCTGGGAGGAGATGACACTGCTGCTGCTGAGATGGAGGCCACTGCATGTCATGTAGGTGGGGAAGATGGCTGGAGCAGGTCCCTGGTGAAGCAGAAATAGCTGGAACTTGGGACAGCGAGCCCTGCCCCGGGCCCCACGCCTCTACCCTTCAAGTCCACCTCTGCAACCCTCACACCACCCCCTGCTGGACAGGCAGGGTCAGGCAATTCTAAACGGAATACCTACAGGGATTCGCATTCCAGAGAAAAACTGAAAAATGTACACTATCCTGCCATATGACCCAGAATTCCCCTCGGAGATATTCAGCCAAGAGGAATGGTATAGTAGAATGTTCATAAGGGCCAAAAAGCTCAAAAGAGCCCAAATGTTTAAGAGGAGGTACACTGTGCCACATTCACACAATAAGATACTACTCAGCAACAAAAACAAGCTACAGGTCCGTGATGGTGAATGTTGATAAAAGATTCATAATCATGAATCTCACACAACACTGAGTGACAGAAACCAGACCCAAAAGGGGGACATACCATATGATTCCATTATTATGAAGTTCGAAAACGGGAAAATACAGTGAAAGAAATGGAAACAGTGGTTGTCTCAGGAGGTAGAGAATGGGGACTGACTACAAAGGAGCATGAGGGGATTTTTGAGGGCATGAGAAAGTTTTATATCTTTATTGGGGAACCGGTTACACAGGTGTATACATTTGTCAAACCTTTGACTGTATACTCAGGATCTGTGCGTTTCATTGTATGCAAATTTTACCTAAAAATGTAAATATGACTGTGCTCAGAATCCAGCAGAAAAGGGTGGACTTTGTTAAACAACTCTGTGTGGCCACTCCTCTCACCGCTGGGGGCAGCTATCTGAAACAGGCAGAGTTTTGCAAAACCCAGATAGAGAAGGCATGAAGCAAGTTTGGGTTAGAGCTGAGCAGGACTTGAGGCAGACACCTGTCATGCTAGAAGGGGATTGGGAGAGGGAGGTGGTCACCACAGGCAGCAGGCAGATGCCCCTTCAAAGCAAAACTATCAGGTGAGTATCTACCAGGAGCAGGGAGGGAATGAATGGCCTGGGAGTGGGGCACATCACCTATGGATCTGGTCAAAATGCAGATTCTGAAAAACCCTAACTAGTACATTGAGAATAAAGATGGATACTGCGTCCTTAAAAGAGACTGTAAAAATGGGCCACAAGCTAATAGTTCAGGGGGAGGAGCCTGGGGGAGACTGTGATAAAGATTTTTAAATTTAACAGACAAGTTTAATAGAATGGACACGTAGTGACCTGAAAAATGAAGTCCAGGAAATCTCCCAGAAAGTACAGGCAAAAGACACAAAGGCATTTTTAGAAGAAATTAAGAGAAACAGGGAGGATAGATCCAAGAAGTCTAACAACCATTTCGAAAGGATCCTAGGAGGCGAGAACAGAAAAAAAGGGAGGAAACAACCAAAGAAACAATAGGAAAACATTTTCCTTAACTAAACAAGAGCTAAAGTTTTCAGAGAGGGGCCACCATTGTTGAGCCAGGTTTACTGGGAAAGGATCCTCATGTCCACATTTCTTGATGGAATATAGGAACTCTAAAGAGAAAGAGAAAATCCTAAAAGTGTTCAGAGTGAAAGAGCACAAAAATGTTATTGACAAGAGAACAAAAGCAAACATCAAAGGCCAGCCTGGATATTAGAAAACAATGAAGCAGTGGCTACAAAATTCTGAGGGAACCAGCAGTTAAGCAGGAAGGCAAATGAAAGACAACTTTCTTTACAAGTAATGACTCCAATATCACCACTGGCGAACACCTGCTAATATATATATATAAAACAGCAAAAGAAATTTTTTAATTCTAAAGGAAGTCCCCTTTGTCTTTTTTTTTTTTTAATTTGGCTGTAAAAAAAACATAAAATAAAAAATATATACCTCAGCCTTAGACACATCAACTTAAAACCAATTTTTATTATGGGAAAATGCACATAAAATTTACCATTAGTACATTCACAAAGTTGTACAACCATTACCGCTACCTAGTTCCAGAACAGTTCTAAGAAGGAAGCTGTGCACCCATTAAGGAACTCTTCCCATTTCCTCCTTTCCCCCTTTTCCCAGCCCCTGGCAACCATTAACCTTTCTATCTATGGATTTGAATTCTCTGGATATGTCATATAAATGTAGCCATATAATATGTGGCCTTTTGTTTCTGGGTTCTTTCACTTAGCATGTTTTCAAGTTTTGTCCATGCAAAGCATGTATCTGTACTCTCTTGCTTTTTAAAAAAGGGATATTTAAATTTTTTTCTTGCAGTGATATTCACATAATATAAAATTAACCATTTTAAAGTAAACAATTCAGTGGGATTTAGTACATTCACAAGATGTGCAACAACCACTTCTATCTACTTATAAAACATTTTCATCACCTCATTTCCGTCTTTTGGCTGAATAATATTCCATCGTATGGCTATACCACATTTGGTTTACCCGTTCATCCATTATTAGACATTTGGGTTGTTTCCAACCAACTTTTAGCTATTGTGAATAGTACTGCTGCGAAGTTTTGTGTACAAGTTTTTGTTTGAAAACCTGTTTTCAATTATTTTGAGTATATACTCAGGAGAAGAACTGCTGAGTCAGATGGTAATTCTATGTTTTGGTTTTTGAGGAAACACCAAACTGTTTTTCCACAGTGGCTGCACCATTTTACATTCCCACCAGCAATGTACAAAGGTTCCAATTTCTCCACTTCCTCTCCAAAACTTGTTTTCATTTTTTAAAAAATTAAAGCCGTCCTAGGGTAATAAATGGTGATGGAAGGAGACTTGACTTGGGGCAGTGAACACACAATACAATATACAGTTGATGTATTATAGAACTGTACACCTGAAAGCTATATAATTTTATTAACCAATGTTACCCCAATAAATTCAGTTAAAAAAATTAAAGCCATCCTACCATAATAGAATGAAGACAGAAGTGAATAACAGAAGGAAAACTAGAAAATGACAAGTATGTAGAAAATTAAAAACCCATGGGTCAAGGAAGAAATCACAAGAGAAATTTAAAAATACAGATGAATGAAACTAAAAACATACTAAAACTTATAGGATGCAGCAAAGGCAGTGCTCAGAGGTAAATTTATAGCTATAAATGCTTACATTTTAAAAAAAGATCTCAGTAACCTAACTTTACACATTGAAGAACTAGGAAAAGAAGAGGAAACTAAACCCAAAGCTAGGAGAAAAGAGGAAACAATAGCGATAAGAACAGAGATAAATAAAAGAACAGAAAAAAACAATAGAATCAACAAAACCAAAAGTTGGTTCTTTGAAAATATCAACAAAATCAACAACCTTTAGCTACTGACAAAGAAAAGAGAGAACACAAAGTGAGGACATTACTACTAACCATACAGAAATAAAAATGATTACAAGAAAATTCTATGAATAATTATGTCCCAACAAATTAGATGAAATGGACAAATTCTTAGTAACACACAATTACCTAAATTCACTGAAGAAAAAACAGAAAAACCTCCACAGACCTACAACAAGTGAAGAGATTGAATTAGTAACCAAAAACCTCCCAACAAATAAAAGTCCAGGACCAGATGACTACACGAGAGAATTCCACCAACCATTTCAAGAATTAATACCAATTCTTCTCAAACTCTTCCAAAAACTAGAAGGGAACACTTCCTAACTCATTCTATGTGGCCAGAATTACCCTGATACCAAAGCTAGAAGATAAAGACATCACAAGAAAAGAAACTATACACCAATATCTGTTATGACTATAGATGCAAAAATTAAAACAAAATACTAGCAAACCAAATCCAGTAGCATATTAAAAGGATTCTACACCATGACCAAGTGGGATTTATTCCAAAATAACTCTACAAAGCATTTGAAAACTGAACTCACATTGGAACCACAATCCAAAGGGGGGTAGGAAATTGTGGCCTGAATCTAACCAGATTGATTGTCTACTTTAACAATAACAACAAACAAACAAAAAAACAATTCTCTATAGAAGTTAATCAAATCCAGAATTCGTAACATAATGTTTGAATTGTCCATAATACAATAAAAAATTACTTGACATTAAATCAATAAAAAACTTCTAAGAAAAATCTCAACACCTTATGAGGGAAAAGACAATGAAAAGACAGAAAGGGAGAAGAAGGGAGAGATGGATGGAGAGAGGGAGAGAGAGAAAGAGAGAGGGAAACATCAATTTGTTGTTCCACTTATTTATGATTTCATTGGTTGGTTCTTGTGTGTTCCGCAACCTTGGTGTATGGGGTCGACGCTCTAACCAACTGAACTACCCGGCCAGGGCAGTAGCATCTCTCTTTTTTCAGCCATTTTAATAGGTGTGGTGTAGTATCTCACTGTGCCTTTAATTTGCATTTCTAGGTGTCACGATTCGAGCATCTTTTCACGTGCTTATTGAATGTTCGCACACCTTTGTTGAGTTGTCTGTTCAAATCTTTAGCCCCTTTTTAAAAACTGGGTTTTCTTATATTGAGTTGCAGTTTTGAGCCACATTTTCATTGATACAGATTAGAGCCAGGTGGTCCTCTGCTCTAACCCCCACCTGGCCTCCTCCCAGGGAATTTGGGGTAAATCCCAAACCAGGGCCTGAGCCTCCACAATCTGTATCCTCCTGCTGGTCCTTGGTTCAGTCCTTTCTTCCACACAGGCTGTCTGGCTGCCCTCTGAACCTGCCAGACATCTAATACCAGCAACCACCTTATTCAGGATTTTCTGGACACATTTAGTATCTGCCCACACCCCCCAAATAAGCTGCGGCTACCCTGCATCTCGGGCTTCTAGCTCCGCTGTTGAATGAATAAATAAGTAAATGAATGTCTCTTACCTAGCTGGAGAGGTCAGCAACGTCTTTGAGGAAGTGATGCTGCATCATGATCACAGAAGACTAAAGAAGAATCGATCAGATGAGAAGATGGAGAAAGAGCACTCCAAGCAGCGTTGACAGCATGTGCAAAGGCCCGGTTGCAGAAGCGAGCCTGGTTTGTTTAAGAAACTGTGAGAAAGCAGACGGGTGGAAGAGACAGGGAAGAGAGGGCAGCAAGGGGTTGTTTTGCCCTATACCAAGACCCTGAGCAAGATGGGAAGTTCCCAAGGTTTTTGAGCAAAGGAATGGAAGTGACCACGGTTGAGGAGTTAAGCATCCCTCTGGCTGCCAAGAAAGGAAACAAGAGTTCTGCTTCCTCAGAACAGTGCAGGGAGGAGATGGGAATGGTTTTGGGATCTAACGGAGGCCTTGGTGGTGCTGAGTTGACGGAGATGAAAGAAAATTTAGGACGTGAAGATGTGCGGGTCAGGTGTGCAAGGACAACCCAGGGGCTCTGGCTCTCGGGGTGGGAGGATGGACGGCAGTGCCCCTCGCAGAGGCCCAGGCGCAGGGAGAATGTCATGGGCTGCTCGTGGTCACCCTGAACTCCTGACGCCCTGAAAACGTGCACGCGTGCTGGCGTGTGTGTGTGTGTGTGTGTGTGTGTGTTGCTTTGTGTTGTGTGTAGGCTATGAGGTTTGTGTCTGGGAGCCCACCCGGAATAAATGGGCGCTGGGTGGGGGGCGGCCAAGGGAGGAACAGCAGGAATGCAGTGGGGAGCTGACGGCGCGGTCAAAGCCGCAGAAGGCTAGGGAGGGCCTTGCTGTTTGGACGCGTAGGGCCTGGACCTGGGACCCGTGCACGGGCACGACGCCCGACGGGAGGCTGCGAGCGTAGACAACCCCTCTGGGCAAGGGCAGATGGGTGGGGGCCCCAGCGGGCTGCTCAGGGGTGGCAAAAAGGCCCCGAGCCTCCGGGACAGGGGCGGGAGGAGAATGTAAGGAAGCCCCGGGCCCGGGCCGCCGGGGTCCGAGGGGAGGAGGGGAGGGAAGGAATG